TTAGAGATGAATTCAGAGTTTAGAGAGGAACTCAAGAGTTTAGAGATCAATTCAGATTTTAGAGAGGAACTCAAGAGTTTAGAGATCAATTCAGAGTTTAGAGAGGAACTCAGAGTTTAGAGATGAATTCAGAGTTTAGAGATGAACTCAAGAGTTTAGAGATGAATTCCGAGTTTAGAGAGGAACTCAGAGTTTAGAGATGAACTCAAGAGTTTAGAGATGAATTCAGACTTTAGAGATGAATTCAGAGTTTAGAGAGGAACTCAGAGTTTAGAGATGAATTCAGAGTTTAGAGATGAATTCAGAGTTTAGAGAGGAACTCAAGAGTTTAGAGATGAATTCAAGAGTTTCGAGAGGAACTCAAGAGTTTAGAGATGAATTCAGACTTTAGAGATGAATTCAGAGTTTAGAGATGAACTCAAGAGTTTAGAGAGGAACTCAAGAGTTTAGAGAGGAACTCAATAGTTTAGGGATGAACTTGTAGTCTCTAACATTTGTGGTAAGATCAGATTTGTTCATCCTTTACTGACCTTTACTGAACATTTTTCAAATGAAAACATGAACATTAGCTTGGCTCCATTTAATGCAGTTTTCTTTCATCCACTGGAGCTGGAGACGTTTGTTTCGAGCAGGAACTTTGGAGCAGAAACAGGAAGTCATCTCAGATTAAATGCGTCACAGAACTGAGCCAAAACACCAGAAGTCTGATTCACATCAAAATAATCCAAACCATTCTGAGCTTTTGTTCAGAAAACGAGTTTAAAATAATCTGGTCTTTTTTTTCTGCCTGGACTCAGAGCCAGAGTCTGAACCAGAGTCCAAACACGTTTTTTTCATTAGAACCGCTCCGGTTCCTCGAGTGGTTCTTTTAAAGGATCATCAGCTAAAAGCTCCACCAGTTTTTCTTTTTTATACGTTAGTGGAACAAATAAATAACATTAATTAATTTAATTAAATCTGATTGTGTTGAAGTCTTGTCCAGGACATCCTTGTAAAAGAGATTGATGATCTCAATGGATTTCTTCCTGGTAAAATATAGGAATAAAAAAAAAAGTGTTTGTGGAGTAAATTATATATTATTTATATTACATATAATATATTTATCAGTTCACGTTCAGCACAAGTTATTTGCTTTTCACTCCGGTGGTTAGTCTAAAAATTATAAAACGACAGCACTTCTGTTCTGAACCTGAAGACGTTTCGCTGTCATCCAGGAGGTTTTACTAGTTCTCTCAAAAAACTGTAATCTATCAGAAAAATATGATTTAAACCATTTTAGAGCCGTTCCTGTGATCCCAGTATCACGTTCAAGCCTTTGTGATAAAATACTGTGGTCAGTCGTATCGAAACATATTTCATAAACAGATAGTTTGTTTTGTCCCAGTTGATGCCTCCACTTTGGCACATCATGAACTCAATGGACTGTTTGTGTTTTAATCTCTTCAGATTATACCCAAAGACAACGAGACCCGTTCTACTTTAACATATAAGTACATCATCCACGAGGACTCGGTACCGGTGAACAACAACAACGTGATCCAGGAGGAAACTTACGAATGGGCCCTGAAGAACTGGTCCCCATGTTCCAGGCCCTGCTCCGGAGGTACTGCAGTACTTAAAGTGTAGATATTTGTCTCCGCTCTCACTCCAGACGATGACGTCCTCCGGTGGTCACAGCAGGACGTGTTTGTGTTCCACTTGAAACGGTCACAAACTAAAAACAAGTTTTTCTTTTTAAATGGGTGAAGAAAACACATTTATTAGTATTCTTTATAAGACTCATCAGTCCCAACGTGCACGGGTCTGACGATCCAGTCTCTGCAGCGGTCTGAGGATTTCAACTGGTTTGAAACCAGTTTAATGTAGCATTTGAACCAATCTGAACCCAAGCAGAGTGAATATTTAGTGCTTTTAGCTCCGAACGTTTCTCCTCTTCCTCAGGGTTCCAGTACACCAAGTACGGCTGTCGAAAGAAAGGAGACACCAAGATGGTTCACCGGGGATTCTGCGACGCCAACAGGAAGCCCAAACCCATCCGCAGGATGTGCAACATGCAGGACTGCGCACAACCTCAGTGAGTCCGTGCACGGCTTGGCTCAGTGTGCTGCAGTCCGTTCAGATCTATGAGCTGAATATGAGCTGAATATGAATGATGCGGTTTTGTCAAGAAAAAAATGTTTGAACTCCAAATCTGTTGTTTGATTAAAACAAGAGTGGGCGTGTCCAGTGGGCGTGTCCAGTGGGCGTGTCCAGTGGGCGTGTCCAGAGTATGTTTAACTCTGTATTCCTGAGCCACACAGAGTAGAAGTATTATTTATCCTAAAGAGTGTGGCATTCTGGGTAAAATCACTCCACAAACAAATTTGACATGATAAATCTTTTTTGATAAATCTGTTTTATTTTCCTGAACATTGATCATCGACGCATTCGTCCCCGACTTCTTTATTAACAACAGATGAAAAAAGATGCGGCCAAATGTAAACTTTTAACCAGTTGGCAGTGGTTCAGACTGACCACAACACAACGGGGATGCAACGGCTCAGACAGTAAATTTCCTGCCTTCCCTGACAGGAAACAACAATCAAGCAGGTTTTATTTCATTTTTTCTTCTGGCTGAAGGTAAAGATCAGTTTCTTTTGTTATCTCGTGGTTTTGGTGTGTTTGAGTCGGGGCTGTCAGCAGCACTTTTCCATCGATATTAACCAGCAGACGTGACTCTTCAACATTAAAGAGGAACCGTTCCTCATCTTCAGTCCTACGTCCCGTTTCATCCTGACGTCAGTAGATCTGACTGATGCCTCTGAACTCAAGAAGGTTTTTTTCCAGACGACGTCTCGTGTCTTAAAGTGCAGCACCTCGGTTTAGTTTAGAAAGTAGAAACTTGGATTTATTAGTCTTAATAGAAAATTTACAGACCTTTTAGTTTTGTGCTCTTTTGGAAATACACCATTTCTTCAACACATTTAAAATAAAAGTAAAAAAAAAACTATTTGAAATAAACTTTTATAAGCAACTACCACAGATTAAAACCATAAAGGTACATTCAGATCAATAAATTAAATGTAGACTCTGGTAGAAAACTAGAGATGGTGTCTGTATAATGTCAAGAATTAAATCTAATCAATTTAATTATGAAATAAAACCGCCTGTCATCACCATAACTGTGTAAATGTGCACCACGTCATTAACACTCGGGGAGTTTGTCTCCAGCTGGTGCCGTCTCTCAGGCACAGTACTAAAGAATACAAAACAATCTAGTACTTGTACAGAATATATATTTACAGTATGCTTGGTACACAAACTGTGTGTTCAGAATGCTTGTGGGTGAACATGTTCTTTTAGTGTCTGGTTCTGGTCTGCAGACTTCTGCACCTCCTGGCAACTGGGAGGAGATTAGACAGAGTCCTGGGTGTGAGGACTCAGAAGTTGGTTTTCCTGGGTCTTGAGGCAAACAAGTCCTGGATGGACGGGGGAGCTCCGGTGATTGTTTCTGTATCTCAGTCCTTTGGTGGTTTGGAGCCACACTGTGATGGAGGAGCACTGGCCTGATGGCTGTGTAAAACTGGTTCAGCTGCTCCTGTGCCAGTCCAGACCTCCTCAGCGGACACATGAAGTGCATCCACTGCTGGGCCTTCTTGAGCATGGAGGTGTTGCTCTCCCACCTCATGTCTTGGTGGTTCCAAGAATCTTGAAGGAGTGTGCTGGTGACACAGGGCAGCTGGATGTGGTGAAGGGTAGCTGTAATGATGGTGTCTCCTGAGATCCACAGTCACATCTTTCTCTGAGACTCCTCCCAGGTGGACATGCCTGGAACACCTCCCTAAGGGGGTGTCTAAGTAGCTAAGAGCTACCTTCCAAGAAAACTCATTTGGACTGTTTGCATCCAAGATCTTGTTCTTTCAGTCTCTGTCCAGAGTTCATGACCATCGGTGAGGGTAGGAACGTAGACCACCCGGTAAACTGAGAGCTTTGCCTCACAGCTCAGCTCCTTCTTCACCAAAATGGACCGGCACAGAGTCCACAATACTGCAGAAGCTGCACCGATCTGTCAGCTGATCTCATTTTCATTCTTCTGTCACTCTGGAACAAAACACTGAGATACTTGAACTCAGCCATTTGAGGCAGAACCTCTCGCCCAACCTGGAGAGAACAATCTATTCTCTTCTGACTGAAGACCATGAGCTCAGATTTGGAGGTTCTGATCCTCATCTCAGCTGTGAACCACTCCGGTGAGAGCTGGAGATCATGGCACGATGACGCCAGCTGGACCACATCATCTGTAAATAGACAGAATCCTGAGGCAATGGACCAGGTGATCAAGTTTGCTAAATATGTAAAGTTATGATTAAATGCTTGTTTTATGATATTCATCACAGCTTTTGCATGTTGATGATGATGATGATTTTGATGTTTAGCACAAATATCTCAACAGAAAACTTGAAACTAAGAACAAAATCTACAAGTTTTCCCAACTGAGACTTTTTTCTATCTAAACACATTGTGTTGTGCTGTAAATCATATTTTAATTAGATATTAATAATTAATTAATGTAATCAAAACATATTTTGTTGCACAAAGTTTCATGTTTTATAGATAAAAATCAGCTGTAGTTTTTAGTTTTAGGATTTAAGGTAGAATGGGGAGAAACAGGCTCTCTTGGTCAAACCACTGCAAAAGCAGCAGATATTTCCAACAAGAATTATTTGTTGGCGGAATGATTTTTTTATTCAGTCAGAACAGAATAAAAACCTTGCAGTTAATGGAAAATGTGTGAAAGAGGGTTGTTCATTAGCAGCTTCTATCAAAAACACACCCATTCAAATCTGCAAAGCCCAGAAAATGGTTTCCTCTGGTTATTAATGGAACAGAACATGAAATGGGCTCGTGTTTATAGACTGGGCAGAACGCAGGAACCCACAATGCAAACGCAACACGAGGAGCTCAAAACCCAAAATGTATTTATTTTAAAATAAAAACAAAAAGCTGACGTGGCAGAAGCTTCTAACAACATGCTCGGAACAACATGCTCGGGAGGAAACATGAAGGAGTAAACCAGACTGTTAAGAACCAACGATACACCGATGAGTACCCCAACCTGAACGAGTGAAACCACTGACTGGTCAGGATCCAAAATGAAGGGGCCCCTGAACAAAGACTGGTCAGGATCCAAACTGAGGGGGCCCC